CAATGTGGGTGGCAGAGGCTCAAGTACTTGGGCCATCTTCTGCTGCTTTCCCAGGTGCATTAGCAGGGATCTGCATTGGAAGTGAAACAGTCTGGCCCAGAGTCCCGGAGTCCAAGCCGGTTCCCAGCCCAGTCCTGTCCCGCAGTCGCCTGGCTCCTCTTTCCTTCCAACATGACAGATGCCTCTGTGTCCTTCGCCAAGGACTTTCTGGCAGGTGGAGTGGCTGCGGCCATCTCCAAGACCGCGGTAGCGCCCATCGAGAGGGTCAAGCTGCTGCTGCAGGTGCAGCATGCCAGCAAGCAAATCACTGCCGATAAGCAATACAAGGGCATTATAGACTGCGTGGTTCGTAACCCCAAGGAGCAGGGAATCCTGTCCTTCTGGCGTGGTAACCTGGCCAGTGTCATCAGATACTTCCCCACCCAGGCTCTCAACTTTGCCTTCAAAGATAAATACAAGCAGATCTTTCTGGGTGGCGTGGACAAGAGGACCCAGTTTTGGCGCTACTTTGCAGGAAATCTGGCATCAGGTGGTGCTGCTGGAGCCACATCCTTGTGTTTTGTGTACCCTCTTGATTTTGCCCGTACCCGTCTAGCAGCTGACGTGGGCAAAGCTGGAGCTGAAAGGGAATTCAGAGGCCTCAGTGACTGCCTGGTTAAGATCTACAAATCTGATGGGATTAGGGGCCTGTACCAAGGCTTTAATGTGTCTGTACAGGGCATTATCATCTACCGGGCTGCCTACTTTGGTATCTATGACACCACAAAAGGAATGCTTCCAGATCCCAAGAACACGCACATCTTCATCAGCTGGATGATCGCGCAGTCTGTCACTGCTGTTGCTGGGTTGACTTCCTATCCATTTGACACTGTTCGTCGGCGCATGATGATGCAGTCGGGGCGTAAAGGAACTGATATCATGTACACAGGCACACTTGACTGCTGGAGGAAGATTGCTCATGATGAAGGAGGCAAAGCGTTTTTCAAGGGTGCATGGTCCAACGTCCTCAGAGGCATGGGTGGTGCTTTTGTGCTTGTCTTGTATGATGAAATCAAGAAGTTCACATAAGTTATTCCCTAGGTTTGTTCCCCTGTAAACAGGCATGTTGTATTATAATCTTGAGCATTCTTGACAGGCTCTTGTCTGTCTTATCAAAAGCAACTATGTGCTGGTTGAAAATGGGAAGCAATAATATTCTTCTGACCAGTTTTCTCTTAAAGCCATTTCCATGATGATGATGATGATGATGGGACTCAATTACATTTTTTTATTTCAGTCACACCTGATAAATAATTTGAAGAAATAAAAATATACACAATAAAAAAAAAAGGAAGTGAAACAGTCTGGACTTGGACTTGTGCTTCAGTAGCGGTTGCTGGCATCACAGGCAGCAGCTTTAAGCCAGTACACCACAGTGTTGGCCTGCTTGATGAATTTTTCATTTCAGTTACTGTAGTTTTCACCTCTAGAATTTCTATGAGCCCTGTTTATAATTTCTCTTTACTGATAGTCTTCAGTAGGTGAGACATTGTGTTTTTCTTTTCTTTTCTTTTTTTTTTTTTTTTTTTTTTGACAGGCAGAGTGGAGAGTGAGAGAGCGAGACAGAGAGAAAGGTCTTCCTTTGCCATTGGTTCACCCTCCAATGGCCGCCACGGCGGGTGCGCTGCGGCCGGCGCACCGCGCTGATCCGATGGCAGGAGCCAGGTACTTCTCCTGGTCTCCCATGGGGTGCAGGGCCCAAGCACTTGGGCCATCCTCCACTGCACTCCCGGGCCACAGCAGAGAGCTGTCCTGGAAGAAGGGCAACTGGGACAGAACCTGGCGCCCCGACCAGGACAAGAACCCGATTTGCCGGCGCCGCAAGGTGGAGGATTAGCCTAGTGAGCCACGGCGCCAGCCAAGACATTGTTTTTATACTTTGCTTTAAGTTCTTTAGATATGATTTCCTTTAGCTCTTTAGTATTTTTCATAGCAAGGTTCTCTGGGTTCTTGAGAACATTTGAGTATTGTAATTTGAGTTCTGGAAAAGTTAATTCTGCAAATTTTTGCCAGTTTTTCATTGCTTTTGCAGAGTGACAAACTTTTCAGAGGTTTTTAGTCCTCTAATGTAATCTTTCATTCTTCAGTGTTTTGTACAAAGTTCACTTGTTCCAATAGCATTTAGTAAACAAATTGCCCTGTTCTACTTTATTTCAAGGAACACTCATAGTGAAAGTTTATAATTATGCTTTATTAATTACATATGGAAGTAACCAAAAATTTGAAGCCTTTTTCTTTCAATCATGTTTCTTGTAATATAATGGGTAGCATGATACCAGTGTTAATAATTATTTTGCAGATACTTACACATTAAGTAACTTTGTATTTTTCTCTTACTTCTTATGCCAGGTATCATAAATGCATGTCAGATTTTATGGGACTTCATGAATAGTTGTTCCTATTTAGTTTATTTTTGTTTTTTTTTGATAGCCTGTTTTCTCTGACATTATATATTTGGACAGTTAAGTACCTCATATCCTGGATTCACATCCTATCACCAGTTCTGCACACCTGTCTATCATGTGGTTCTTTTTCTTACTCCCAGAGTCCACTTTTTCTTTTGCTCCTTTTGCTAACTTCTTTATCTTGTTGTTAATCTCTCCCACCCTAATTCATTATTTCTCATCAAAAAGTGTATTCTAGCATCTTCCATCTTCTAACATCTTGCATCTTCTTTATCATTCACATACCATTCTAGTTATCCTATGTGTTAATCCATTAATTTCTGGTTTTTTAAAAAATTAAATTATGAAACATTTTAATCCTATAGCTGAAGCCAGTAGCCTGCAGCGCCATTTGGGTCTCCCAGGTGGGTGTAAGGGGCCCAAGTATTTGGGCCATCCTTCACTGCTTTCCCAAGTATATTAGTAGGGAGCTGGAGCTGAAGACGAACAGCTGGGGCTAGAATCAGTGTTCATACATGATTCTGGTGTTGTAGGCAGTGGCTTAACTTGCTATACCCCAATTCCAAACCCTTCATACTCACTTTTAGGTGTGTAGAAAATAACCTTTGATTCTCTGTATTGTTAAAAAAAGATTTGCAGAATCATTACTATCTTATTTGAATTGTCAGGAAGATTCTGGGTTGGTTTGTTTATCATTTCCTTTAAGGCAGAGAGATACAGAGAGATCTTTCCTCCACTGATTGTCTCTCCAAATGCCTGCAACAGCAAGAGCCTGGAACTCTACCTGGGTCTCCCATGTGAGTGTCAGGACCTGTGTACTTGAGCCATATCCTACTGCTAGGAAGCTGGAATCAGAAGTTGAACTGGGACTCAAACTTAGGCACTGTGATGTGGGATGCAGATATCGCAAATGCTGTCTGAATTACTGTAGCAAACACTTGCCCCAAGATTCTGTTTTTTAAAGGTATGGTTAGTTCACATAACTGGATACATGTAAACAATTTTCTGAACAAGGCAAACAAATAGAGGTACCATTGTCATCTCCTGTGATTTGTGAAACTCCTGCTTTTCCCTTAGATTGATTATCCCGTGTGTGTATGTGTGTGCTCACAGATGCAAAACAGAACCAAGAAAAGTATAGCAGAATGAAATGTTAGTAATGGGGTAGCTGTTTGTTGCAGTGGCTTAAATGTTTATTGGGATGCCCTCATCCCATATCAGAGTGCCAGCAGGTGGAGGATCCTCTCTGCCTCTTTATCTTTGAAATAAAATGAAAATAAATAAAAATTAAAAGAAAATATTGGTGAATATTAAATATTAAATGTTAGTAAAATGAATTTCTCTGTTAAATAAGATATGAATATAGGTAGAAGTTCTAATGTTTGCTTTCAATGTGATGTGCCACCCCCATTTTAGAGGCTACTTTGAATAAATTAGAAATATCACCAAATTTATTTAAATTTGCTTTTTTTTTTTTATTTTTTATTTTTTATTTTTTTATTTTATTTTATTTTTTTTTTGACAGGCAGAGTGGACAGTGAGAGAGAGAGACAGAGAGAGAAAGGTCTTCCTTTGCCGTTGGTTCACCCTCCAATGGCCGCCGCTGCAGCCGGCGCACCGCGCTGATCCGATGGCAGGAGCCAGGATCCAGGTGCTTTTCCTGGTCTCCCATGGGGTGCAGGGCCCAAGCACCTGGGCCATCCTCCACTGCACTCCCTGGCCACAGCAGAGAGCTGGCCTGGAAGAGGGGCTACCGGGACAGAATCCGGTGCCCCGACTGGGACTAGAACCCGGTGTGCCGGCGCCGCAAGGTGGAGGATTAACCTATTGAGCCACGGCGCCGGCTTTAAATTTGCTTTTGTGTCGTTTCCAAAGACTCAGTATTTTGCCTTGGATAAAGTTGATGGTGGTTGTGGCTCAGTGATAGATCATGTTTTATTGTACTATTCTTTCTACTTCAGTTTATGTTTAAAAATTTCCATAATTATTAAGAAGTCAAAAAAATAGATGCCACCACATCTTTTCTCTCGTTTCATTGGCTTGTGCTAGGTCAGAAGATTTTTCTTTTCACCCCACTTTGTACCCTACCTCACCCTTTTCTGTTTGCCTTCAGAAAGTATTAATTCCAATGCTAAATTTGACAAAAGCGAATCCTGGAACTTGTGAAAAAAATTCTTTCTTCATGATTTTCTTCTAAATTATTATATGCTCCTTTCTGCTGATTTTTATATATTTAATATTTTAGCATAGTTATTTTTATAATCTCACAGTGGTTTGTGATGCAAATGGTGACATAAAGAAAAATTAGCAGCTCTTTGAATATTATTGTTGATATACTTTTGCACCTAATGAGATTTTACAGTCTTGTAAATGAAGCATTTTAAAAGTAAAATGGATTAGTGAAAGCTTTTAGAATACTGATAAAGTCACTTTTATGTTGAAAAAATGTTTTAATTTTCATGTATTAATGTAGCATTAATTTCTTTGGAAAATATTATTTTCAGCTTTAAATTTATTAAGTGGTAATAACAATGCTTTATTTTCTTTCTTTTCAAGATACGGAATATATGAACGTTGTCGAGAATTGGTGGAAGCAGGCTATGATGTACGGCAACCAGACAAAGAAAATGTTACACTCCTCCATTGGGCTGCCATCAATAACAGAATAGATTTAGTCAAGTATGTGTTTCCTGTATATTTAATGAGTAGTTGTTTTTTTATTATAAATTATTAAATATTTATCATAAAAATAATTTCTAAAAAGTCATGGCTTTTAAAATATTAGATTTTACGTACCTTTTTTCCTGATGAAAATTGCTTTTAATATGTATTGATTGCTTTTCTGAGCCATGTATTGTAATGAATACTTTTATTTCCTTTAATCTTAATTCTTGAAGTAATCCTGTGTAAAATACAGCAGGTACCCTGTCCTACTGATATGGAAACTAAAGTCAAAGAGGTTAATTTGAGTTGGAATTTTTAAGAAAATATATTTCTATTTTTATTTTTTTTAAAGATTTATTCATTTATTTGAAAGTCAGAGTTACACAGAGAGAGGAGAGACAGAGAGAGAGAGAGAGTCTTCCATCTGATGGTTCATTTCCTAATTGGCTGCAATGGCCAGAGCTGTGCTGAAGCTGTGCTGATTCGAAGCCAGGAGCTTCTTCCAGGTCTCTCACATGGGTGCAGGGGTCCAAGGACTTGGGCCATCTTCTGCTTTCCCAGGCCACGGCAGAGAGCCGGAGTGGAAGTGGAGCAGCTGGGTCTTGAACCGGCACCTATATGGGATGCCGGTGCTTCAGGCCAGGGCGTTAACCTGCTGTGTGTCACAGCGCTGGCCCCAAGAAAGTATATTTCATTCAAAACTAACTTCTCTTTAGTTCTAGTATAACCATTCACAAACCATTTTCAGCATTATATAATGTCTTCCAGGGTATCTTAGGAACCAATTTATGAATAGTTAAATAGTTGTGCTCTTTATAATTTGATATTCTGGAAATACTTTGTTAAGTTACTTTGAACTATTCTGCATAATAAGTGGAGTTGGCCGTTTATTGTATAATGTTTTAAAAGTACTGCTGTAACAAGTATTTGTATGAAGCACAAAACTTCTGAATTAAGCATGAGTGTATTCAGCGTTTAAAATGATGTACACTAGAAATAGTAATCTAAATCATTAATCCTTACTTAAAACAGCTTCAGAGCTTAAGTGATCAACATATGCCAAGTATTTGACATCAAATGCCTTTTTAAAAAATGATTTATTTATTTATTTGAAAGCTAATGTAACAGAGGAGATAGTCCATCCACCGGTTCACATTCTAAATGATTGCAACAGCCAGGTCTGGGCCAGGCCAAAACCAGGAGCCAGAAACTCCATCTTGGTGTTCCATTTGGGTAGCAGGGGTCTGAGTACTTGGGCAAGTTTCCTATTAGCAGGAATCTGGGATCAGAAGCAAAGAAGCTGGGATTCAAACCAGCTCTCTGATACGGGAGGCCAGTGTTGCAAGCTGCAGCTTAACCTACTGAGCCAGAACAGCAGCTCTGTTAATCAAATGCCTTAAAATAGTTTATGCTCAAGAATTAATGCATTGACTAGTCCCAGAGAAAGTATTGTATTAAACCGCTAGATCTCATTTATTTCAGAGGATATCAAGCTATTATGATGTTATTAAGCAATATGATAGCTATGTCTTTTTAAAGTATCATAACTAAAAGTATAACAAGGCTTACTGAAGAATCTTTATGTTATAATTTAAAGTTTATAAAATATTTCATTGTTTGATTTGACCTATAGAAAAGTAATGTTTAAAAAGCTGAAGTTACTCAAGGTAGACAATATCTTGCCTAATTTATAGCTGTTCTAATTTGAAGACTGTATGCTACTATTTTAAATCTTTATGGTTCTTTGACTACCTTTTTTATTTATGTCATTTCTGTTCTTTATGTCATTTCTGTCATTTTCTTCTGTTCTTTGTCATTTTTGTCATTGTTCTTTATGTCATTTCTTTTTGTTGCTTTTAAAGCTATTTTCATTTTACTTTTTGAACAAAATAGTTGTATTTTGATACTAAACCATCAAAATATTTTTTTCTTCAAAGGCACAAACTAACATGAGATTAAAATGGAAAACTTTGTATTTCACATAATTTCTTAGAATTCAAAATAAAAAGTTAAATTATCAAAAAAATTTTTTTTGTAGATACTATATTTCGAAAGGTGCTATTGTGGATCAACTTGGAGGAGATCTGAATTCAACTCCATTGCACTGGGCCACAAGGTTTACATTTATTTATTTGTTTTTTCTGTTTCTTTTAATAACAACTAAGCAGCTTCTTTTTAAAAAATGATAGGCTACAATTAATGAGACTTACTATACTAATAGTTAGACTGCATGGTTTTACCTGCCTTGGAAACAAAATTTGTGTTCCAAAGTATCCTTAGGGAATTGGCTATGGTGATATTTTTCCAGTCATAAGATTGGATTAGACTTTGGATTTGTAAATGTAATATTTTTATAGCTTATATTGCATTTACAGTTAAAAAGCCAGTTCAGTTATTGGGATGATTGAGATTGTACTGCAATAAAATAGAATATGGTAGTTATTATATATTTAAATGTTATATCTCTGTCAGTTCATCAGATATCCAGTTAAGACTTTTTAAGAAACAAAATTCTAAAAAGTCTTAACATATATCTATTTTAAAATAACTCCCCAAAATTTGTGTAATCTTTCTACCATTACCTAGTTTTTTAAAAAGTTTTTTCAAAAGTTTTTTCAGAAGATTCTCATTGAAATAACTTATTTATTTAAATGTTTATTCTTCTATATTTTAGACAAGGCCATCTATCCATGGTTGTGCAACTAATGAAATATGGTGCAGATCCTTCATTAATTGATGGAGAAGGATGTAGCTGTATTCATCTGGCTGCTCAGTTTGGACATACCTCAATTGTTGCTTATCTCATAGCAAAAGGACAGGTAAAAATTATCACGATGGTTTGACTTTTAATTAGATGTTCTTCATAGTTTAAATGCCTGATATCATTGGTGCTACCTGTGTAACTATCTGGTAATATTTAAATAGTGCTTTCTGTTGGATAAAGAGAATAGATAAATACATAATTGGTATTGACTTACTTATTCCACTTACCGTAAAAATATGACACAATCATGGATAAGATAATGATCTATTAAGTTAGGTTTTTATTTCAGAATGTGATGGAGATAAAGCAGAAAATTTAGGTATTTGTTCCCTGAATGTGTTTTTTGAATATAGTATCTGAATTCACCTATACGTTTTTTAAAATTTGTTTAGTTGAGAGTCAGAGTTACACAGAGGGAGGAGAGGCAGAGACAGAGAGAGAGCTTCCATCCGCTGGGTCACTCCCAGTTGGCCGCAGCGGCGGGAGCTGCACCAATCAGAGGTCGGGAGCCACGAGCTTCCTCTGGGTCTTCCACTGTGGTGCAGGGGCCCAAGGACTCGGGCCATCTTCTGCTTTCCTAGACCACAGCAGAGAGCTAGATTAGAAGTGGAGCAGCTGAGTCTCGGACCCACGCCCATATGGGATGCCGGCACTGCAGGCAGCAGCTTTACCTGCTACACCCCAGTGGCGGCCCATCTATACATTTTTGAACTTTTTATTTTCTCTATTAAGTACTTCTTGAAGGGGTTATGGTGTTTAAAATCAGTTTCTCAATTTTTGCTAAACAAAATAATGCTACTTTATTGTCAGGGAAATTTGTTGTGGTTCTTAATTTTTCTTGAATGTGCAGTAGCCATAATCACACTAAATATTTCCAGTTTATATTACCATGTTTTTTGTAATAAATGTATTTTGTTAAAAGTACTGTCACTCAGTTTTTCTTCCATGTATATTTTTGGGGGGCTATATTTAAACATGTTATAACTAAGGATCTCATCACAAGAGTAAGATAAATTAGTTTAATTCATTGCTATTGACATATTTACTGTTATTCAAATTGAAATTTTTCATTTATAATTTGAAAAGCATTTTTTTAATGACTGTTAAGTACTTGTTGGAGCATCAAGCAGTGACGGTGTATGTTGTGTATTGAATCTTAAAAGGTATAGACTATTAATTGCTGGAAGAGGGGGTTTCTTAACTATTACCCTGATAACAAACTGTTCCCAAATGAGTTAAGAACACCAGCCTTTTCCTTTTATCTCACAATTCCATGAATTGACTTGGCTTTGCTGGGTGTGGGTCTTTTAATAATGGTTGGGAACTACAGTCCTCTTGGGACTTGACTGTTTTGGAGGATTGGCTCACTTCGGTATCTTCTGCCTTAGTAGGAATGGATAAACAATCATGCTTAGCTAGGATGCTAGCATAGCTAGGTTTCTCTTCATTCAGCGCCAGAACTTCTTCACAATGCAATACTATGTGCTTTGTAGCAGGAGAAGTAGACTTCTTAAACAGCAGTTCTGTGTTCCCAGAAGAACAAAGGCAAAAGTTTCAAGTTAGGTCTTGAAGTGGCATGGGAACTTTTCTGCTCCGTATTGTCTGTTATAATGGCTAGCCCGTATTCAGGGCAGGAAGTGTCAGCACAAATATGTGAGTACAAGGAAGTGACATTTATTGAGTGCCCTCTTTGGAGACCAACTACCACTGAAGATTGTCCTGTTCTCCCATAGTTTCTTTTGGACCTAAGTTGGAATCAGTACATAGTGCTGTGTCTTCAGCATTTTTTCTAATGCAGATATAATTTACAATGCATAGTCACTTTCTTTCAATTTTTATCTGCAAAAGAAAAGTGGTGTAAGTTTTAGTCTTCATGATATTTTTATTAGCTTAATGATTTTGGAGGTCTGATAATCTCAGGCATTTTAACTTTGGTGTAGTATGAATATATAGGCTATAATATTCTTGGGGTAGGATTTCTGCTTATCACAATGCATTTATACGAAAAGCATGATTGCGATAATAAATGTATGACAAATTAATAGATTCTATGAGTATTTCACTACATACAAAAATAGCATCTTACTATTCAAATGTAATAGAGTATGAGTTAGAAAATGAAACCCCAATTCTATCCATGCCAATCTCCCACTGAGATCTCTTCCTTTAACAGTTTAGTGTATACTTTTCAGGAATTTCCCCCATCTCTATACAAAATATTATGAAAATACTTTCAGCACATGTTGTATCATAGTTTGGTGTCCAGGGTCATCCTTTGCTTTCCAGAGTACTTGTGTGGTCTAGCCCCTGGACACCTCCTGTGCTCTTCTTGTCTCCCCCTTATCACTCTGCTTCAACCACACCAATCTTGATACTTCTTGAACTGCTCTGGCAGGCAAATGTCTTAGGGTTCTTGGTATTTCTACTGCCTATATTTTCTTTCCTCACTTAGTCGCATAGTCCTTTTTCTTTCTCTTTAGTGAATTTTTTATTAGTTTCAATAGTTACCAGTTATCAGCAATGTTGTTTTTTTTTGTTTTGTTTTGTTTTGTTTTTAATTTTTTTTTGACAGGCAGAGAGCTGGCCTGGAAGAGGGGCAACAGGGACAGAATCCGGCACCCCGACCCAGACTAGAACCCGGTGTGCTGGCGCCGCAAGGTGGAGGATTAGCCTATTGAGCCGCAGCGCCGGCTGATCAGCAATGTTATAATTGGCATATTTTAATTTCTTTCCTTTCGCTGTTTCACTGGCTTTAGTTAGTGGTACTGTCTTTCTTAGTGTTAATTTTGTTGTGACAGATGAAACTACATTTCTGTGACTTGAGGTTTTAGCTTTAGATAATATCCCTTGACTCATAGCTATTGCAGATGAGGCCATCAGCATACTTTCTTGTCAACTTTCTTCTTTTTTTTTTTCCTTTTTTTGTTAATGCTTTCAGTTTTACATTGTTAGGGCATACACATTTCCATTCAGTTTTGTCATTCTATTCTTCACAGTTGTTTCATTTTGGTTACACTGTTAAATATATTCAGTGCTCACTGCCAATTCTTTTGGATGATCTTCGGGGGACGATGCTAAGTTTTGGAGCCCTGTTGATCATAGAATTTCCATAAGCTTTTGTTCTGGGCTTGTTAATTCTTCCTAATAGAGAGTCATCATATGTCTAGGCGCAGCTTGGAAAAGAAGTACCAAGTTTTAAATCCTGACCCAAAGAGAGAGAAGGTTGAATTTGATTTTTCTTTTAATATTCTTGAAATACAGTATAATTTTACATTTTATTTATTGATAGTTTTACAACTATTTTTAAAACAACTAAGAAGAAACTTAAACATAATAATTCATGTTTGCTTTAATTAGACATCAAATGTGATTGTACTTTCTTGAAACCAGAGCAGTAAGATATAAAATGTTAGAGTTCTGTTACCTCTTATATAAGAAATAAGGAACTTTGTCATTTCTTCAGAAAAAAATTTTTTAAGTCACATAATTTTTTAAAAATCATTCTGAATATTGGAAATGTTGAGTGAGGCTACAGAAGATACTCTTTTTTGTTTTTTTAAGATTTTATTTATTTATTTGAGAGGTAGAGTTACAGACAGTGAGAGAGAGAGAGAGAGAAAGGTCTTCCTTCTGATGGTTCACTCCCCAGATGGCTGCAATGGCTGGAGCTGTACTGATCCGAAGCCAGGAGTCAGGTGCTTCCTTCTGATCTCCCATGTGGGTGCAGGGGCCCAAGCACTTGGGCCATCTTCCACTGCTTTCCCAGGCCATAGCAGAGAGCTGGATTGGAAGAGTAGCAGCTGGGACCCAAATCGGCGCCCATATGGGATGCCAGCACCATGAGTGGAGGGTTAACCCACTGCACCACAGCACTGGCCCCTACAGAAGATATTCTTATTTTTTATTTTATTTATTATTTTTTTGACAGGCAGAGTTAGACAGCGAGAGAGAGACAGAGAGGAAGGTCTTTCTTCCATTGGCTCACCTCCCAAATGTCCGCTACGGCTGGTGTGCTGCGGTTGGCGGAACGTGCTGAACCGAAACTAGGAGCAATGTGCTTCCTCCTGGTCTCCCATGTGGGTGCAGGGCCCAAGCACTTGGGCCATCCTCCACTGTACTCCCTGGCCACAGCAGAGAGCTGGACTGGAAGAGGAGCAACCTGACAGAATCCGGTGCCCCAACCGGGACTAGAACTTGGGGTGCCAGCGCTGCAGGCGGAGGATTAGCCAAGTGAGCCGTGGTGGCGGCCAGAAGATATTCTTAACAACACTATATAAGGAAATCCAGAAATGGATTGGTAATAGATAAGTCGTCACATTTTCTTGTAGTATTCATGAAGAGGGCCTAAAACTAATGACATCCATAAATAAACTCTGGTTCTTTAACAAGTGATTCTCAGCTTTTATCTTCCTGAGTCGTCTTGTTGTCATTGAGGCATATTCCCATCAATAATAGTGGCTCACAGAGAATTGCTTTATAGAGATAGCAGTGTTTCACAGTGAATTTACTGTAATCCTGTCCTCTCTCTCTTGATTGGCAAATTAGGTTACACAGCTTGGATTAGAACTGCTTGTTTAATATGATCTAGGAATGGGTGATGGGGTAAGGAAGAAGAAGAAACATTAATTGAATGTCAGTTGGAGACTTATGGACCGGGTACCATGCTCATATTATTTTGTTTAATAATCACAGGCCTCTTAGGAAGTTATTGTTTGTGTTCACATTTTCTAGTGAAGAAGCTGAGGCTCAGAGAACTGAAGTACTTTTCCCCTTTTTTTTTTTAATGATTAAGTAGGAGAAGTAAAACTGTAAGATTCTAGTGGAGAGTTTTGGGATAGTAATTGTTAGTTTTAATTTTAATTAGCTGGCAATCTAAGCAAAAGAAGGGACAAGAAAGTTCCAGGAAAGGAAATCATTGGATAGAAGAGGAAAAGTAATCATTGTTTACTACATAATTTGGCAAGAAATGGCATTTGTACATATTTATATTATTATATTTATTTATTATAATATAATTATAATCTTATAACTATAATATAATATATAAAATAAAATATATAGCATATATTATATAATATAGTTATATAATCATATTATAAATATATAATTATACAATATATATCATGTATCATTTATTATATTTATATTATTTATAATAATATAAATATTAAATATTTTTGTAACTAAAATTTCAATAGACCTCTTGAGAGGAAAGAATAGGAAAGGTGCAATTCTGTGATGGAAGAGGGAGATAAGGAAGAGGAATTTTCAATTTTAATTCTATGGTGTCTCAGAAGATAATTTCTGAAACTGAAAAAAACCAGCAGCAAAATTCATGTATCTTATTTACATATGTGGAGATAAATACCAAAATAATGTACTTTAAAAAGGTGGAATTGGTGGAAAGTAAGACAGAATATTGCTTTATCACATTGCTTTTACCTTGGAAACACTGCAGAATTACTTAACTAAAAATGTACATGTACAACAGTAAAATAATAACCTTTTGAGATTTAAAAAAAAATTTTTTTAAAGTCAGGTCTCTTCATTCTTTGTTTTGAAACACCTGGTAATAAACAGTTTATCATGTATTATTTTAAGTAAAGGTTTTAAGAGACTTAAATCAATCTGTTGGTGGCTGAAAGTTCAATATAACTCAAGTTCTTTAAATTTAAAACATTGCAAATGTGTTTAAGAAATCTTAAAAGGTAGAACTATAAAACATATATAATTAAAATATTTAATGGAAATAGTAGATAATAAGTTTACTTTAAAGTTAAGGAAAATTTTCATAAATCATCCTTGACTGAGTAGTACTCTGCTGGCTTCTATGATGTGCACATTAGATCTTTCTAAGTAAATTTGGTTAGGAAGTTAACACACTTTCACTGTCTGACTTTTCTTTTTACACTATCAGGATGTAGATATGATGGATCAGAATGGAATGACACCTTTAATGTGGGCAGCTTATAGAACACATAGGTATGTAAACATTATAAAATATTCAGCTCATTTTTATCATAATTTAGTGGAACAAGTGATGAGAAAAAGCAACTGATGTTATATTTACTAATATGTGACTGTATTTTATAACATAAATTCCCTTTTTGGGTGTTGAAATGTCTCTTTTACCCTGCTTCAATACTTGTAGTTTCCCCATCTATTCCTCTTTTAACAATTTCTAAGACTGGAACTTGAGAAGTTATTTTCTTTAAGAGTATTGCCAGGTTTAATATGATAATTAGTAACTTGTTTAAATGATTTTGGAATAATCTAGATTTAAAGTAAAACACTTTTTAAATTCAGTTCCTAGTGAAAAGTAGAAAATGTCAGGACCAAGGGTTTTATCCTTGTAACTGTATGACTTTATATGATACTGTACATGTCTTCATTTTAGAATATCGTCTCGTTATTGATTGAAAGGTTATTGAATAGGTTAGAATAGAAGTGTGCCAGTATGGAATGTGAATTCAACCACAAACAGCTTAGTATCTGTAATGATTTCTATAATTGAAATTAGGGTTGTTGTTGTTGTTGTTTTTTTTCTTCCTTTTCAGTGTGGATCCAACTAGATTGCTTTTAACATTCAATGTTTCAGTTAACCTTGGTGACAAGTATCACAAAAACACTGCTCTGCACTGGGCAGTACTAGCAGGGAATACCACAGTCATTAGCCTTCTTCTGGAAGCTGGAGCTAATGTTGATGCCCAAAATATCAAGGTAAAACTATATTGATGATGTTGTATGAAATGTGGCAATTATAAATTCCCTGTTATAAAGTTTTTTCATAAACTATCGAAATTGAAAAAAACCTGTTTAAGCTAAGTCATTTGTTTTCATACAGTAATTTGTTTGAAAATGGGATTATTACCTTTCATTTTTTGATACTGAAGTAATTTTTAGATTTTAGGAAACTTGTCACTTGTGAATTCCTACTGGTTTTGTGAAATTATATGATCAGTATTTTTGTAAGTGATGGGGATAACTTTCTGGTTCCTTCAGAATTGTTACAGAGAATACGAGCATGTAGTTAGTCATATTATGCACAATAAATCTTAGTCTTTGACTTGGTCATTTTTTCCTTTTTTTTTTAAAGGTTAGCACTTTTAAATTTGATAAATTCCTTTATGATGTTTATAGGGGAACCTCCAAAGAGTGGACTAATCCAGGAAAACTATGTAAAATTATCTAAGAGCCAAAACAATTAGCATTTATACCCTAAGCATTTAGAAATTTATAGACATTTTATGCATGCATGCAAGAAGATCCTATGGGTAGTCTCATTTTGGTTAACTCTTCTCATATTTAAGGCTTTAAGATCTATCACATCTTTTATCACCAGACTTTCTGAAATAATTTAAAAAAATCTTTTAATGTGCATTCAGAAATAACTGCTTATCAACATGTTATTTAATTTGGTCTGTAATTCAGAGTGTTATCTAAGACATGTTTCTTAAATTCCTAAGGGATATGTGATCATTAATATGAATAGGATGCAAACCACATATTAATCTGAAATGGCCAATCAAAAAGTAGGTTATCTCCTGCTGGATCAGGGCATCTCTTTATATTCCAATAAGTAGTTCTTTGATTTGGTTACTTTAAGAAGAGAAAGTTAAACGGCTAAAATAAAGTAGGTTAGAATATAGTTATATGGTGCATAATTTATTTAAGTTTATAGCTGATTTTTAAAAGTATGTAATTATTTAAAGCAAATGTCTAATATTGGAAAATGATAAAATTGATAAAATCATGTTTTCTTTCATCTTAAAAATTTTAAGTTATCTTGACCCTACACAAAGTTGCTAGAATGGCCAGTATCTGCCACTAAACAGGGGAAGAGGAAAATTGGCAAACCACGCATAGTACTTGACACTCAGTGGACACTCTAAATATTTGTTGACTGAATGAAGATGTATTTAGTCTTGAGATATACCTAAGCTAGATTTCATTACTGCTGGTCAATCTCTCTGCCACTTCAGAATTTATAGGTAGTAGTTTTGTTTTGCCTAATGTTTTAAAGTAGAATGCTCTGAAAAGTTTATAACGTTGGAATTAGTAAATTAAGCTAATCCCAGATCTAAAGGGTAAGTTAAGGAAGGAGGAGTTTGACCAAGCCTAATACCCTTGTTAGAAAATATTTACTTCATGTTTTATTTTCTAAATGGCTCTTGAATGTTATTTTGCTACCAGATAGCTGTTCTGAAATGATCATTGCCCAGGAATGCATTTTGATATATTTAGTGTTATGTTATTGAAAACTAGAACCAATGCTGGTATGGCGAATAGTCTCCATAGACTTTCTAGTATACTGACATTGCAGTAATACCAAAGTATTGAGACAATAAGATGACTACATAGTTCTGGAATTTTAAACTAATTATGTTTTCCATCTGTATAAAATATTAGGTAGTTGCTCTTTGATCACCATCATTACATATATAAGGTGTGGTTTGTAAGTTTAGCACCTTTTCGGGTTATGAAGTCTTGCTCATTAACCATTATATAAAATTTGGATTAATCTTAAATAATCTATGATGAATTTCATAGAAAGGAAATTAAGAGTAGAGATATTTGAGATTCTTTAAGTTATTTTTGAACCTTGTATTTTCAGTGTTTTATAGGTTCAGGCATATCAGACATTTTGTAACAAGCTAGGATAAAATGTAATGTGGTTTTGTTAGTGCAGTTCATGTGAATCTTCAGGAGTATCTAATAATTGAGCTGAGTATTGTACCTGTAAAACTTTTACTTAAATTTATGTTTTTTTCCCAGTAGTTTTGTTAATGATTATGACACATATAATCAAGGTTGATTATTGATCAAAAACTTATTTTAAATCTAATTTTTAGTAACTTTTGGAAAGACATTACTCCTAAAGGAAGAAAAAATGTATAAGCTGTTTCTTTTGCTCAGGGGACATTTATACTTTAAGGGTAAAATTATCTTTTAATTCACATTGGTAAAATAATTTTTATTTTAACATGAAATTTATGTGTATTTCAAAGGACGACATATGTATCACATGCCTTTCTACTGGGATCTAGCATTTCCAGTAAAATATAGTTATACCTTATTCTAATAGAAATAATATATTCATTCATACAACAGGTATTTGTTTTCTGGTGGAGAGTTACAGTATTTAAGATTTATAAGGTCCTTATTCTTTCAGAACTTTCCTTCTGTTAGGAAAATGACAATAAGTTTTTTTTTATTTTATTTTATTTTATTTTATTTTTTTTTATTTTTTGACAGAGTTAGTGAGAGACAGAGAGAAAGGTCTTCCTTTTTCCGTTGGTTCACCCCCCAAATGGCCACTATGGCTGGCGCGCTGTGCTGATCCGAAGCCAGGAGCCAGGTGCTTCCTCCTGGTCTCCCATGTGGGTGCAGGGCCCAAGCACTTGGGCCATCCTCCACTGCCTTCCTGGGCCACAGCTGAGAGCTGGACTGGAAGAGGAGCAACCGGGATAGAACCGGCACCCCAACCGGGACTAGAACCCGGAGTGCTGGAAGACAATAAGTTTTTAAAAGAAAGCAACTGCGATAGAGGGACAGGACTGGGAAGACTACATCAGTTGAGAGTGCTTTGGGAATGCTTCTGAGGCAATGATGTTTGCTTTGGGAATTATATCATGAGAGGGGTCAGTTATACAGATAGATGCATGGAAAAACTATGTAAAGGCACGCACAGGTACATGATCCTAAGCAAGAATAAACTTGATGTGTTTGATGTGCAGAAAGACGGACAGTGAAGAAGGGGAGAGAAGTCATTTGAGATGGGCAGGTGCCAGGTCTTGTATTGTCAGTGATGGGAGGCAGTTGAAAGAATGTATGTAGGCTAGTTATGTGATCTGCTTTTTGTTTCAAATATTAATAAAACATGGGTTTGGTTGATGTATGGAGAATGCATTGAATTTTAAAAAGGTCAGAGATCAGTTAGGTTGTGGCAGTAAATCAGGCAAATGATATTTAGCTTGGGAACAGAAGAGTGGAAATGGATAGATTTGAATGGATTTGGGGATGACATTTTAGAGTAGAAATGAAAAGGTAGATGTGGGAATGAAAGAAAACATGATTGATGACTTAGGTTTCCTTTCAGTAACTATCTTGTGATATAAGTTGAGGCTTTGAAGATTGAAGGCAAAATGCTTTTTGGGAAGTAAAGTTGATAGTAATTGGTTCTGTTTTGGTAATATTTAATTTGAAGTGATGTCTTGCTATGTGGAATATTAAGATAATTAAGCAACATAAATTTCAGCACATTTTGAAAAGGAAAAATTCATTAAAAAAAACCTAGAATCTTTGTCTAGGAATTTGATAGTTTATTTATACCTGTATATTTTTTGTTTTTACTTTAAGTCATAGGAAAGAGAGTCTTGTAAATAAATGTGACTGAAAACAATAAGGAGGTAACCTTCGAATTTGGTTATGACTTTAATAGTATAAAAAGATGTATTCAAAGAATATGAAAAATTATGCTTTGTGTTATGATAATTATAAAACTATTTGTTGATCCTACTTCTAAAAATAACTATTAAATAAGAGTAGGCTTAACTTTCTTAGAAATCTCTCTTAATGTGAACTAGGGATTTACCCTTGTTATTTGAGTAAGGTGTTCAATTATTTTAATATAAAAACAAATGATTCTTCTATTAGACTAAGAAGAAGTTATTTTGAAGACAGTTCATACTAAGTGATAGGTAACTTTAAAATAGCTGTTTTTATCCTTAGTATGAATAGTATGTTTTGATCCTTAGCCACTTACCCTGGATTAGAGGTTCTTATTCTGGGGTCCACTCCTGGATTTTGTTTTTCATGGAGTGGTCCAAGTTACATGGATCAGCATTTTGGGGGGAGAAGATGATCAATATTTTTCATCAAATATGACTCGAAAGAATTTAAGCTCTGTAGCCTTAGATAATAGTTACACAGAATAAAATTGAATCTTTTCTTGTTAAGTAATACAAGGTGGGGTGGGAATAAGTGACTTAGGATACTAAGAGCAAAAACCAAAATAATGGTCTATGTAGAAATCTCTTTTTATGATAGCATCTTGTTTATGAATTCTTAAAAAATATTTCACCCCTTGGCTTATGTTTTTAGTTATACAAGTAAATTTAGGTGAATTGTCCTTGGAGAGAACAACCTGAAAGATCGCTTTAGAGCTTATTGAAATGCAGTAGGAAACATCTTTCAGAAGGTAGTATTTTACTAAAGACCTGACCTAGATGGTCTCCAAGGGAGAATTTTCCTTAGTTTTGATAATGAAATTCAACCTCACTTAGGCAGACTTCAAACAATCTTCTACTCTAGCCATAATGTTTGACTAAACTCTTTGAAAGCTGTTGCTTAGTCTATAGATACTCCATGTAGATTCTTGCTGTTAGGCATTTTTATTATTTTGGTTGAGACATGGAGTGATTAAATATGGACTTGAACTAGAGCCCTGGTTTTAGTATAATTTTTTAAATTAATTGCTTATGTATTTTACCAGCTGAATAAAAGAACTCTACAAAAAATAGTCAGATGATTAGAGGAGTAGTTGAAAGATTTCTTAAAGCTCCCTCAATCTTTTTGTCTAGGCAATCCTTAGGTGTCACATGGCCCTCTAGTGGAAGGGATGCTCAGCTGGACCGAGGCAACTGCAGGATATTCTCTGGGAGTTGTTACCCAAGGGATTGCTTTTATTCAGGTAATCTTTATAGTTTGGATTAAATAGCTGGTTCTGACAACTTAGGTGATGGAATTTTGGAATAGGTAAGGAGATACTTTAAAGTAAATATTCCTATTTTTGAGAGACTCAGATTCCTTATTAAATACCGTTGATCTTTATATTAAAAGATTGGTTAGCCTTTTTGTTAATTGTTTTGTAATAGCTGTGCTGAAGGTGGTAGTGGTATGTTTTATTTGGTTTGTTTTTTAGTTATTTACTTTTCAGTAAACTGTACTTTAATTTTGACAAGTAATCGTCCTTCATAAGTAAGGCACACCGAGTTTCCTTATTATTTTATTCCTTTCAGCTAGTCTTTTGAAATAAAAATCTCATCTTTTTTTATTTTTAAGAGTAATTTCAAATATTTATGTGCAGATTTTGAAATTTTGGCAAACATTTTAAATTTTGGTTTTCTATTTAAAGAATTAGTGGAGGATGTTCAATAGAATGGAAATTTAGATATATGACAAATTTGCAAAAGGAGACATAAGGTTTTTAATTAGCAAAGGCATGAAGTAGCATAGATTTAGCTTATTTTTCTTGTCTTCATTTAATATATTTTAGTCATGTTCACTTGTACTCCTTGGCTGGCTTTTTCTTGGGGCTAAAGGGTTTCTCAGATTTGTTACTTGAACTTCTCTCTCTCTTTTTAAAAATCATTTCTCTTGTCCTCTAGAAATTACAGTATGAGTGAATAAACATAGGTCAAGAATGCCAATATGTTAGTAGTAGAAGTAGAAGCTGCGTTTTCTTTTTCTTCTCTGTTATCTTAAGACTCTTATCACTGAAATAAAACTGAGATTTCTGGCAATTTGGTATTAGAGCAGCATGTTTTATATCAATAACTATTACTAATAAAATCTTTAAAAATGTGAAATAACTGATAAACTTACTGATAGCCTCTGATCCAGCAGGTACTAAAATGCCTACTTTTTGATTTGCTCTCTAATATGTCAAAATACAAACAAAAAAATAGAATCTATAGAATGAGATGAGGAAATTTACTGTATTTTGAATAGGAAAGCATAAGAAATATGTAATAATTTAGGTTCTTTAATAATTGACTTTACCTAATGTCAGAGCAGTACTTTTGAATCAATAGTGAAGTTTTTTTTTTTTTATGAAAGTTCTTTACAAGTAACTAAAATACCTTTTCTTTTATTTTTAATGTACATATCAGGGTGAATCAGCTCTTGATTTGGCAAAGCAGAGGAAAAATGTGTGGATGATCAACCATTTGCAAGAGGCAAGGCAAGCAAAAGGATATGACAATCCATCTTTCCTTAGAAAGTTAAAAGCTGATAAGGTAAACCCATTATTTGCAGATTTTCAGTAAGATTTATAAGCGTACTTACTTTGAAGTAAGATTCATAGGCATACTTATTTAGCATGAATATTTACAGCCTTTAACATTGATATTGTTCAGTCTAATTTTCAAAATGTAATTCACCAAGATGAAGTAATAGTGTTTCTCAGCACCTACTTAGATAGTGGCCTATCTAGGTTATCTGATTATTAAGAAGAATGGCCATATATGAAATTACTTAAAGCATCATAAGTTATTAACATAAATTTTAGTTTATTGATTCATCTGGCTTTTGTTAAGTAATAGATAAAAATAAAGGTTTTTTCCTGTGTGTGTACATTTGTTAGTATGATACTAAATTGTGCATCTAATGCATCTGTTTCTCTTTTTTAAAAAACAAAAGTTTATTTATTTGAGAGGCAGAGTTAGAGAGAAATTGAGATAGAGTGAGGTCTTCCATCTGCTGGTTCACTCCCTAAATAGCTGCAATGGCCAGGCTGAAACCAGGAGCCAGGAATTTCAACTGGGTCTTCCATGTGGGTGGCAGGGCCCCAACCACTTGGGCAGTCTTCTGGCACTTTCCCAGGTGCATTAGCAGGGAGTTAGATTGGAAGTGGAGCAGCCAGGAATTGAACCAGTGCCCACATGGATGCTGGTGTCATAGGCAAGCGGCCTAACCAGCTGCACCACAAGAGTAGCTCCCATATCTCTTTCAGCAACTCACAACTTAAGCTGTAATTGATTAGAGCTTTTCAGTTTTTGTGATTCATTGTAATGCTTTTTAGAGAAAAAAACTTACATTCTTGATTTTCCTATGGAAGGTTAATTTTAGATTGTCCATATACCTTCAATTTTAAACTATATGACTGGTGGTTTAATTGCTTAATTATTATAGAATGATTTCCAGATTTAGAGCATTTCCATGAAGGGGAAGTGTCTAGATTGTTAAAAATTATTTCTATCAAGAAACGAAAAATTGGCTGACCAACAGTTTGTTTTTTTATGTTAATAACTGAGAAGGTACCTGTTAACTTATAGATAATCACAACTTGAGTGTCATTAGGCACTGAGTACCATTTTATGTGTGTCCTACCTATGCCATTCTAGTCATGATACTAATTGCTTAGTTAGCTATGGGCTATCTGTTATCAAGGTAAAGGAGTGCCTCATTTATTTATCAGAGTGTAGACTCCTTTAATGAGCTGTCAAGGTCTCTGGTCCCTTATTTAGATATCAGAAGAATTAGATCTGTAGTTTTATAGACTTGCCTGTTTACAACCTTGTGGCTGAGAGCAATGAACATGTTTTGGCATGTCTTAACTTTTTCATTTAAATACTAGGTATGATATACAAAATAATTTATTTGCTTTTATTTTCTGCGATATAGGGTTTAGAGTAGTTCTGTTCAGTGGATGAAAAATGGCTAATGTCTCATGATAATTAGGATAATGACAAAAATGTCTTGCATTATTTGAAAATCTCATAATCTTTGTGTTTTCGTATTGTTGAATGTAAATATTTTGAAGTTTTTTTATTTCTACATATAGACAGATGAAAATGACTTATAAATTCTAGATGCTGTATTAGTAGGTAAAAATACTTATTACAATATTAGTGAACCGTATCTCATGTTTTTGTATTTGGTTAAATTTTTTTTCAAGATTTATTTATTTATGTGAAAGAGTTACACAGAGAGAGAAGGAGAGGCAGAGAGAGAGAGGTCTTCCATCCGCTGATTCATTCCCCAGTTGGCTGCAATAGCTGGAGCTGCGCTGATCTGAAGCTAGGAGTCAGGAGCTTCTTCCAGGTTTCCCACATGGGTGCAGGGGCCCAAGGAATTCGGTCATCTTCTGCTGCTTTCCCAGGCCACAACAGAGAGCTGGATCAGAAGTGGAGTGGCCGGCAGTTGAACCAGCGCCCATAAGGGATGCTGGCACTGTAGGCAGCAGCTTTACCTGCTATGACACAGCACCAGCCCTCAGTTACAATTTTCAATAAGAGAGCTTCATAAAAAGTTTAGTGCAGTTTTACTGTTTGTACATTGTTGTGATAGGTTCAGAAGTTTAGCTTTTTTCTGTTTTATATTTCCATAGTAACTTTAAATATTAAAAATTAAAGTTTATAAAAATGCTGGTTGATGGCTATGTAGAATTGAATAGCTGTAATTATGTAGATGGTATTTGTTAGAAAAATTATGAATATGATTTGGTTTGCTACACTTCAGAGATGTGCATTTAAAACTAAATGAGATGGGGGCCAGTGCTGTAGTGTAGCGGGTTAAGCCTTGGCCTGCAGTGCCAGCATCCCGTATGGGTGCCGGTTCAAGTCCCAGTAGCTCCTCTTCTGTTCCAGCTCTCTGTTATGGCCTGGGAAAGCAGTAGAAGATGGCCCAAGTCCTTGGGCCCCTGCACCCACGTGGGAGACGTGGAGGAAACTCCTGGCTCCTGACTTCAGATCGACATAGCTCCAGCCATTGCAGCCAACTGGGGAGTGACCCAGTGGTTGGAAGACCTCTCTCTCTGCCTTTCCTTCTCCCTCTCTGTACTCTTTCAAATAAATAAATAAACCGTAAAAAAAAAAAAAGAATGAAATGTGAAAAACAGTGATACCTCAGATTCAACAGTACTTATTTTATACAAGGTTATCTTTAAAGGAGAGTGGGCAGGATATTTTTGAGCATTGCTAGTAGACAGATATGGAGAAAGTCTTGATTTTAGACAACTATTTTGAAAGCTCTTAGATTCTAAAAGGATTGTAAATACACACATTAATGGTTAAGTGTTAACTGCTTAATAGTAAGTTGCAAGGCTTCTCTAAATTAGTATTTTTCAATAATTTAAAAAATCCCATTTCTTAATGATAAAAATACCATATGTCGTCTTTTTAAATAATGGAAGATGGAGTAGTTGTTTTCATATTCCTCTCACTGAGTACAACTAAAAACTCTGAATATTATATATAAAACAAATGTCCTAAGACTCTGAAAGATGGAAAGAAGAGGGCAGAGTAGATAGGGATGGAGCCTAGAACCTGAAGAATGATATGATGAATTCCTGGGTTTTGCTTTGTTTTGGCTCATATTTCTAATATATCCCAGAATAGGAGTTGATAAAGCCAGCAACACAGAATCACAGCTGGGTGCAAATAAAAGGCCCAAACAAAAGCCTGTTTAGCCAAATGACCACAAAAGACAGTATAGCTGGACAGAAAAGTTTCAGAAAACAAACTACTATACTATAGCCAAATAGTGTAACAACAGCAATAACAAAAATGTGGTCCCATTCGGCTCACATCAGGTGAGCCTGCCTAGAGGCTGTCTTCCTGGGTTCCAATGAGGTGTTCCCCAGCTTCTCTCCTGGGTTAGTGCCAGAGAAGGCTAAGTAGAAATTTGGAACTGGGGCCGGTGCATTGGTTCACTTGGTTAATCCTCCACCTGCAGCACTGGCATCCCATGTGGGTGCCGCGTTCTAGTCCTGGTTGCTCCTCATCCAGTCCAGCTCTCTGCTGTGGCCTGGGAGGGCAGTGGAGGATGGCCCAAGTGCTTGGGCCCCTGCACCTACGTGGGAGACCAGGCAGAAGCACCTGGCTCCTGGCTTCGCATCGGCGTAGTTCCAGCCATAGTGGCCATTTTGGGGGGTGAACCAACAGAAGGAAGACCTTTCTCTCTGTCTCTCTCTCTCACTGTCTAACTCTGTCAGATAAATAATAATAATAATAAAAAAGTTGGGACTTTGATTTGTACTAGCTGTTAATGAGGTTCCACCCTCCATCCCCCTTGTTTCTTTGGGTGCCAGTAGGGAACAGAAATGAAATACTCCTTCCTTTCCCAACCCCGGGGAATTCTCAGCAGAGGTATAGTGAAGATGGATGTCTGACTCTTGCCTAGCAATAATGAGAAGCCATTTCTTGTTAGTGATGGCTGACTGAGAATTCTGGACTTCTAGCTTACCTAACTTTAATGAGGAGGTATCTCTCCCCTCTGCTCACCAAACTGTATCAGAAGAATTATTTAAGAGAAGATTTGGGTAAGATTCAGTCTAAAATCCCCAAAATGTCCATATTTCAAGTGAAAATCACTTGTTAAACCAAGAATCAAGAAGATTTGAAATTGAATGAAAATAAGAATAATCAATAGATGCTGATACTATGATGACAAAAATTAAAATTTCCTGGTGGCAAAAGATTTTAAAGTAGATGTCATAAAAAGATTTCAATGAGTAATTATTAATGTTTGAATATTCTAAATATTAATGTTTGAATATTCTAAAAATAGAATCTCAGAATAGAAGTAGAAATAGATAATAAAGAATCAGATAGACATTTTAAAACAAAATTATAGGAACACCAACAATAAAACCTCAATAGGTGGACTAAGCAATAGAATAAGAAAGACAAGAAAGAATCAGTGACTTTGAAAATGCAAAACCACAACTTACCCATTGTGAACAACAAAAGGAAATAGAATGAAAAAAAAAAAAAGAACAGTTTTAGGTAATTCTGGTCTAACACAAGGTCTAACATTAATGTGATTAGAGTCCTTATAGATACAATGGCTGAAATAAAATCTCAAATTTGGCAAGATACAAACCTACAGATTAAGAAGCTGAGCAAACTTCAAATAGAATAAACTCAAAGAAATCCTCACTGAACACACTGGAACCAAACTTCTGGAGTTGAAAGACTTTTCCCCAATAAGGTATCTTAATAAATAAGGGAAGAACAATTCAAATGACAGATCTTTCATCAGCAACCATAGAAGCCAGAGGGAACTGGTACTTTTTTAAGTACTCAAAGAAAAGAACTCTTAACCCTGAATCCTACGTGAGTGAAAATATCATCCAGGAATGAAAGTGAACTTAAAATATTCTCAGATGAAGGAGAGATAAGAGGATTTGTTATCGGCAGTTATGCCTGAGAGAACGGCCAATGGAAATTCTCTAATTCTTTTTTTTTTTTTAAGTTTTATTTTTATTTATTTGAAAGCAGAGTTAGGGAAAGGA